GAGAAAGTTGAATAAAGGATTTGTTTTGTGGGAAAGACAGCCTAAAAGATGGCTCAAGTTCAACATAGAAGGGACTACTAGAGGATGCTCTAGCTATCTAGGGATTGAAAGGGTGTTACGGAATGACATGGGAGAGGTCAATTCGATTGGGATTACGCCAACCTTGCGGAAGTCATGGCTATTCATAAGGCTATGGTCATTTTTGCAACTTCCTCTTGGCCTAATATTAGTGGTATTATTATTGAATGTGATTCTAGGAATGCAATTACTTGGATGACCAAATTGCAGATAGCTCCATGAAAGCTACTGCAACTGATTTTACAAATCACACATCACTTAAAACCAAAATGGTTGGTTGGTAGATTCGGTATATCCGAAGGTCTGGTAATGTTATGGTGGACAACCTCACCAAATTGAGAGTGGATAAAATGAATGATCTAACGCAACTTTTCCTTTAGTCATTAGACGCTTGTGATTGACAAAGAGCACCCGGTTTTTCTTTTTCTTCTTAATGGTTGTTATGTTGTGTTATCTTGGTAAGTTCCTTCCTTGGATAAGTGAAGTACCTCAAAAAGTAGTCGTAGGTGGGTTATGAATTCATGAGCAACTGGCCTCTTGCTGTGGGTTGAATACTGTGTCTGAGGCTGATACTTTAGAAAGTAAAGATTTGGAAGAACAAGAAGCATACAAATGGAGCTGGTGGGATGTATTGCTGAGAATGAATGGGCTCATGTGAATGTTGTATAGTGATTTTTTGATGCGTTTGGCTATCTTTTTGTCAGACAGGCCTATAACAGAATATTAAGATTAACTTAGTTAGAATACTCTGTCTCCTTTTGTAAAAGGTTTATCCTATTTAGTCAATGAAATTATTGTAATTTTTTTTTAAAAGAAAAAAGATTTACATGTAGATTAAATCAAATGAAGATTAATAGTTAATTCATTCAAATCAATAGGCCTTTCAGTTCATTTGTAAATACACATTCTCAAATAAGATCTTTCTACTCTTTAAATATTTTCTTTTATAATTGTTCTTTCAAATTATATTTCCTAACACATATATATATGATTCTAGTTTTAGATACGTAGTTTTAAAAAAATTACAAAGAGTTGAATTTTTTTTTAATTGAGAAAAGGGAAATTTGAACCATAATCCTTAAATAGGAAATTGTGTATCAATTAATAAATTTTTAAATATTAAAAAATTATAATATATACAAAATGTAAATCTATCTCACATCTAATTCTGCACACTAAACAATAAGTAATGGGAAATTCCAAAAAGAACCTGCTATATCAAATTGAGAACAATTATTTGATTTTGGCAACCAATTTGTTGGAATACCTTTCATGTTGTCGTATGCAATGGCATTTATTTTGCAGATAAGCTGGACAGCTAGCGCCACACGTTCACAATGTTTGACCAGACTTGTTATAAATATCATAGCTCACATCCACGGTTCCTTGCAATCTCTCCTCAAACAAAAATTCAATTCTTAAGCTGCTTTGATCCCTCCAAGGTCTTTGCCTCCAACAATGTCCAACGCCAACCCCCACGTCCTAACATGCAAAGGTAAACTCTCTCTTAATTGGTTCTACTGAGCAGAAACACGCACATACATACATTAATATGTCTGGGAATTTAATCAGTTTCATTAATATGTCTCTCAATCTCAATTCCGATGCTTTTGCTTTGAAATAACGTGTGGCAGCCATAGTAAGTTGGGGAAAGGATGAGCCGTTGAAGGTGGAAGAGATACAAGTTGAACCACCAAAATCATTCGAAGTTCGAGTTAAAATGCTATATGCCAGTGTTTGTCATACAGATATATTGTTCGCCAGTGGATTCCCAATTGTCAGTACTTCTTCTCTTCATCATTGTTATTCAATCTAATACTGATTCCTCACAGTTTTTTATTTTTGGGTTAGTCAGATATTAATTGATCTTAAGTATTTTGTCCATCCTTTCAGCCTTCTTATCCTCGTGTTATGGGGCATGAAGGCGTCGGGTAAGTCTTTTCCAGGTTCATACATACAGACTTTTTTTCCCATATTTCAGCTTTCTTTTCCTCAAATTCATGGCATATGTGAAGGTTTACATACAAATATTTGATATACTGCTTAGTAGCCATTACCGATAATTTCAAAGTAACACAGCCTGGCAACAATTATTGCAGGGTGGTGGAGAGCATTGGGAATGACGTGAGTGGGCTAAATGAAGGAGACATCGTGATACCAGCCTATGTTGCAGAGTGTAAAACATGTGAGAACTGTATGTCTGAAAAGACAAATTTATGCTTAAAATACCCTTTAAGCTACAATGGCTTAATGCTGGACGGTACTTCGAGATTGTCCATTGGAGGCCAAACTGCCTACCATGCATTTTCATGCTCCACATGGTCTGAATACATGGTTATCAATGCCAACTTTGTCCTCAAGATTGACCCCAGCATACCACCATCGGATGCTAGCTTCCTTTCATGTGGATTTTCAACCGGATATGGGGCAGCTTGGAAGGAGGCTAAGGTTGAAAAGGGCTCAACTGTGGCTGTTTTTGGTCTTGGAGCGGTTGGATTAGGCGTATGTTGCTTTTACCCTTTTACGCTATTTTATGTTTTTTTTTCTTTCTAAATCATAGCTATCAAATTTGGATCTACAAATGGTCTAGGAAATATCTTGAAGAGTTTGAAATCAGTTTGTCGTTGATAGATAGATGAATATATTTAATTTGCAGGCGGTCAAGGGAGCCAAAAGCCAAGGTGCCACTAAAGTAATTGGCATAGACAAGAACCCAAGAAAAGAAGCAAAGGGACGAGCTTTTGGGATGACAGATTTCATAAACCCCGATGACTCTGATAGATGTATTGCCGAATTGGTCAAAGATTTAACTGGTGGAATGGGTGTGGACTACAGCTTTGAATGCACTGGGGTTCCACCCCTCATCAATGAAGCCATTGAAGCCACAAAACTGGTACCCAATTTAAATTAAAAATTTCTAAATTGGAATTTCAAGTTTTTAATTATTGATCGAGATGTGTCAGTGAAGACATAAAATTTTGATTTACTTTGTGGTGGTCAGGGAGCAGGAAAGATCATCCAGATTGGAGCAGGAAAACATTCAAGTGTAAACATAAATTTGTTAGGCATTCTCCTTGGCAGAACTTTGAAGGGGTCGATTTTTGGAGGGCTCAAAGGCAAATCTGACCTTCCAATTATATATGAAAAATGTAAAAATAGGGTGAGCGCCTCAATGGACTAATTTTTTTTTTTTGGCAGGATCACTTCTATTTAGTGGGGTCAATATATTGTCTATCATAATTTTTTTTTTTTAAATAATTTGATTGAGTGGAGTTCCTTACAAAAATGATGGTCCTGTTTCTTCACAGGAAATACAGCTTGGCGAACTATTGACTCATGAAATTCAGCTGGAAGAAGCAAACAAAGTATTTGAGTTGTTGAAGCAACCAGATTGTGTCAAGGTTTTGATCAAGATTTGATTTATACGAGTGACAAATACACTTATATTCTAAGTTTTAATTCACATTTAATAAAGGTGTTACAACTTGCACCGTTGAGGATTACGCCAATGAAACTTGTAATGCATCATAAATGAGAATATGCCATTCACTGTTTTTTTCCTTATAAATGATTTCTCAATGTCAACTTTTGCTTAATTGTCTTGTAATATTTGACTGTATTACTCATATTTTGGTAGAACTCAACATTTACACTACAGATGGTAGCTTTGGTTATAATTTGCTCCTTCAGTAGGCGGTGTTCATATAAATAATATGTTATTCTCTTTCACATTAGGTTGAGAAGAATATTCTTTGATGTGAAGTTGAGAATTTCTTTAACTGTACATAATAACACGAGTAACATTTTGTAAAGGTTAAAAATATAAAATAAAATGTTATATCAAAAGTTAATCTCAACTGACGTGCAATTCAAGCGAAAGAATAAAGCCATAAAGCAACAAAGTAAAGATGTACTATGGAAACCCAGTTTATAATGCCAGTGAAGGAATAAAAAGCTAACTGAATATGAAATTTAAAAGGGAAGAGGCTCTATCATTTCGAAGATTAGAACAGCTGTGCTATCTAATCTTCCTCGTGATTCTGTCTCACGAATCTTCCGCGAAGCAATCTGTGATATGATTCCTTCTAACTCAACTTCCATGTTAGGTTTGTCAACTTGTGTTGAGAGACTCAATTTTGCAATCAGTTTGGAATATAACTCCAGTTACTTCTTATCATATGGATAAGAATTTTTTATGGTAAGAATTTTTATACAAAGAGTAAACTACGGATGTCTGATTTTGACTAACATATTATAATTATTATTATTTAAGTGTTGTTTATTGTTGGGACCATTTATATTATTAGTTTTAGGTCAGTTTGGGATGGTTCACATTGTGAAAGCTCAAGGACAATAAACGAGGCGCAAAAGCTGGCGGACCCAAGCTTCACCAATCACCAGGTTAATTATGGGAACTGACAAACTGACTTTGAGAGCCATTCGTACAGAGACTGCAACAAAGTAGGGGGAATACTTTGACAAGTCATATAAGACCATGCCAATAGTTGGGAGCTAGCAGCAAAATTAAGGTTAGGAAAAAGGTTCACAGGAACCTCACTCATGAATCATGCTGCAAAGTTTCTGGGAGTCAGGCATTTATGTATCATCTTAATTAGTCATTGCAACCATACACGTAAATCATGCAATGCGAACTTACCAAAACAGGAGAAAAAGTTTTTGCGAGTAATTATTGGTTGCTATTTTGTCAAATATGCCGGCTACTTACCAATGGTCCAATAATCATCCTTGCCATTGATGTCATTTTCAACATCATCCTGTTATCTTAACAATCAGACTTAGACCAACATCATTGCCATTTGCCAGGTGCAAGTCACGATGACTACAATTTTCAATTGCGAGACAAATTTGCTCATAGGCAGGACTATGAGAGAAAACGAGAGAAAAAATGGTGGCCAAACAAGTCTTATCACAAAGCATTGAGTAAGTTACTACCATCCACACTAAAGCAAGACGTTTAAAGCAGTACTCAGTGGTTTATTAGTTAGGACCTTAAGAGCCTAAAACGAATACCGAATTTTGTTTGGTATGCAGTCCTATGCTAGAAAATTTTGGCGGTAGTGTGCACTTCAATTCTAAACTAGTCAAGATAAAGCTGGTAATTAGTATAATGATATGAGAACTGTTTAGTTTTAAAATTAATTTTATTTATCTTACAAAAATGATTGAATTAGATATATATAATTCTTGGATATAAGTATTATTTCAACAATTACTTTTTATATAAAAAGACAATCATCCGTAAGACATAACATTTAAGTAATAATATAAAAATATAACTTTTCATATCAAAATTTTTTAATAATGATATTTTTCAATTATCTCTTTATTTTTGGATTTAGAAGTGTTTTTTTAATATATCACTTTACAATATAACTTTTCATATAAAAAATCACCTACAAGCCAATAATCATACTATTTCATATTATGTAAAATAACTTTTTAATTGATGTGACTTTTAATAGTCATAATTTTTCATATGAAAAAATATAATTTTTTATTTACAACTTTTCATATAAAAAGATAATTTTTATTTTGAAAATACATCAATATTTAATCCACATATGATACCAGGTTTTATTTTTCAGATATGATCAGAGGGTAGCCGGCCTTTTCTTTTTCTTGCTGCTTAGCCTGCTTTATGTGTTCATATATGAATATATTTTGCAGATAGAGATTCAGCAACAATCTTCTTACTTTGGTTAGTTTCTCTTCTGAAGCCACAGTTCAATTGTTAAGTTTAACACCAGCAAAGCCATTGCCTAACAATGTCAAACAGCAGTTCAGAAGTCATAACATGCAAAGGTAGCTTAGAATTTACCAAAGTTGTTTTGATTAAAACTGTTTTAAGTTATTGTTTTTCATTAGATTCAGAAGGTTGGGATTACTCTTATTTTCTTCTATTTTTTGCAACTCTGATATCTCTTATGCTCGTCCTTTGGAGAAACACGGCAGCAATAGTATGTTGGGGAAAAGGGGAGCCATTGAAGATTGAAGAGATACAAGTAGAGGCACCAAAATCATCTGAAGTTCGAGTTAAAATGCTATGTGCCAGTGTTTGTCACACTGACATATTGTCGACCAGAGGATTCCCAAGTGTTAGTATTCTTTTCCTAATTGATTTTACTTCAATTATACTATTTGATTCTCATCATTTTTCTTGAATCAGTCATCTGATATTGTTTCTTGATGAGTTTTTTTTTTCCCTCTATCAGCCTCTCTTCCCTCGAGTCATGGGGCATGAAGGTGTTGGGTAACGTCCGCTGCTTGTATTTCCTACTTGGTCATATGACTACTGCAATCAATGAGAACAACCTTGACTGAGAGATTTCATCATGTGAAATACTTGTCATAGTCCATTTAGCAATGTTCAATGACCTTTTACAAAATGTTTCCTATGCCACTGCAGGGTGGTGGAGAGCATTGGTGAGCAAGTCAATGGACTAAAACAGGGAGATATTGTGATTCCAACCTATGTCGCAGAGTGTCAAACATGTGAGAATTGCACATCCGAGAAGACTAATTTATGCCTAACTTACCCGTTAACCCTTCAACTGCCTAATGCTTGATGGCACTTCAAGAATGTCCATTAGAGGCCAAAGTTTGTACCACACATTTTCCTTTGCCACATGGTCTGAATATATGGTTATAAATGAGAATTATGTCGTTAAGATTCATCCGAGCATAGCTCCTTCGCATGCTAGCTTCCTTTCATGTGGATATTCAACTGGATTTGGGGCAGCTTGGAAAGATGCTAAGGTTGAGGAGGGCTCAAGCGTAGCTGTTTTCGGTCTTGGAACCGTTGGATTAGGGGTATGTATTTTCAGCCTTTATTTACATATTCCCAGAATTTCAATCTTCAAGGTTCAATATATATTGTTGTTGAGATACCGCTGAAGCTGAACATGCATGAACATTAAACAATAGGAAATTTGTGCTTAAATTTTCAGGTCGTTGAGGGAGCTAGAATTCGAGGTGCAACTAAGATAATTGGTATAGACAAGAATCCAAGAAAAAAGGAGAAGGGACATGTTTATGGAATGACAGATTTTATAAACCTTGATGGTTCAGATAAATATTCCATCTGTGAATCAGTTCGAGCCCTAACTGATGGAAAGGGTGTGGATTATAGCTTTGAGTGCTCTGGGGTTGCACCATTGGTCAATGAAGCCATTGAATCCACAAAAATAGTATGCACATTGTATTTTTATGCTCTAAATCATACTTCTGTCTGCATGAAAATTGACCATTTTTGTGCTGATGGATTGATATTTTCCAAGATATTGATGTACTGTGTGGTGGATAGGGAACAGGAAAAACCATTCTGATGGGCACAGGAGATCATCAAAGCCTGCAGATAAATTTCCTACCCCTTCTGTGTGGCAGAACTTTAAAGGGGTGTGTTTATGGAGGCATCAAAACCAAATCTGACCTTCCCATTCTTCTTGAAAAATGCAGAAATAAGGTATTACTCTGATTCAATTAATGTTGTCTAGTTTGCAGATTAATCAACCTGTAGATTGCTTTCAAAGATATTGCAGCATAAAGTAAGATGGACTGATATTCCTTTTCTCCACAGGAAATCCATCTTGATGAACTCTTGACTCATGAAGTTCAACTAGAAGATATAAACAAGGCATTTGAGCTGTTGAAGCAACCAGACTGTGTCAAGGTTCTGGTCAAGATTTGATTGATATAAGCAACAAATTAAGCATGTCTGCTCTGTTCTTATACCCTTGAGCCTTAAGCCTATTATATTAGGCAATGCCTAATACAATTAATTTACATCTTATAACTGTTTAAGTTTTCTCTTTTAATTTTTACCATCAAAAATAAAAATCTCTTTTAGATTTCTCTCAAATCCAATACTCCATACTGTTTTCATTCACTCGATTAACATTTATGTATGAAGAGTGCAAATTAGAGAAAAATATTGTTCTAATTAATTTACTTTAAATATTTGTTTGAGGTGTCTATTTTTTTTGGTGATATAATCAACATATTTGTAAGGTTATAGCAACATTATGTAATCAATATTGGGAAGCATATATTATAAAATGGGAAAAATAATTTACAGTGGCTAGCATTCACTGTGTAAGGTGCACCATCAAAGGCCATAACAGTGCAAGATTGGCTTAACATTACTAAATAGTATAATCCTTGACAGTAATCAAAGAGGGTCCATAGCTCAGTGGTAGAGCATTTGACTGCAGATCAAGAGGTCACCGGTTCGAACCCGGTTGGGCCCTTTATTCTTTTTGAAAAAAAAAAAGAATTTCTTATTTCTTAAACCCTCTCTCATTTCAGCTTTGTTACAATTCTAATGAATGATTTTCTGGCCCAAAAGGATTCATACTGGCAATGGCACAAATTTCTGCGAAGGAAATCTTGTCCATGGTACTGCATTCGCCCCAGCCAACTCATCTTTGCCTAGTAATCTACCTGGCTTAGAACGTTATAATAAGGGTTAACAGCATTTAATTCATTGATTATTGTATAATTTTTCTATTTAAATATAAGATTTTGAATCCTCTTCTTTCAATTAAAAAAAAAAAAATACTCTTGTCTTTTAAATTTCAATTCAATTTGAAATGGGTTTATTAATTTTTGAAATACACTTTTCTAAAAAATACAAACACTGTAAATAAAAATTAAAATAATTAAAAGAATTTTTCTTTTTTTATTAATTTTAAAAATATTATTATATTTTTTTTAAAAAAAAAAACATCAATCGACGCTTCCAACTCTCCAAGAAAGGGACCACCGACCAGTGCTTCCACGGGCGGGGAGCTCCAATACTCCCCATCTACAGAGGATTTATTTTTAATTAATAAAAAAATTAATAAAATCATATAATAACAATTTTAAAAATTAATTAAAAATAAACTTATTTTTTATTCTTATCACATTATCCAATTAACGAAAACATTAAAAATTGACTAATAACTAGACCTAAATATCCAACAAAAAATAATTTGTAAAATAAAATTTTAAAAATTAATAAACTTTAGTATAATTTCAATCAAAATTTAAAAAATAAAAATATTTTACCAAAATGAAAATCATGACTATAAGCTTTACACCAGTTTTGGGAACTGAAAAGATTTGGGGTTCATCCCACAACAATGAGCAAGTTCTATCACTAATTTCTGTGTGTGGTAAATGGATAGCTTCAAATGTAACTACCCTATATACTGAAAAGAGAGAGGAGGTCATAAAATCCCAATTCACTGCTGCAATTCGCATTCTCGTAAGGGGAAAAAAACACAGGAAATTTTTCTCAAGTATTACACTCCAGTTTTGATAGGGATAACAAGAAAACCGATATTAATATCAAAACTGCATAAAAATTATCAAACACTGTCTATGTGAATTCAGAATTCATTACAGAAGCACAAGCACAACTTTCAGTTGCTGAAACTCAACATCATGCGCCGACTAAGCAACAAACACGTCTCACATAGTAGCTTCTACTTCAGGGTCAGTCTCGACCGGGACAGTAGGTGAATTATTACCACCTCTCAAACGTGAGGATACATTGTCGATGGCAGAATTCAGTTGGCTGATTTTTGCGTTCAGGGTCTGCCTAGTCTTCTGCTTTCAATAAGCGAATTCTCAACTAATATAACATAATAATAGCATATATCAATGGACAAAGCTGCATATAACGTAGAACCTAATTACCTCTAAACCTTCATCATAGTATATTGGTCGCTTTGCCCTCCGGAATCCATATTCATCTTCATTTAGCAGGGATCTTCTAATCTGGATCAAAATAACAAACTAAGAATTCAGGATCCAACCAGAATAACCAAAATTTCAAATGAAAAATAGCCAAAAAGAGACAATTCATGGCACAAAATAACCGGCAGATAATATTTCATCACCTCCATGCAAAATATGACGAGTGACATATGGGAAGCCAGTTATGGCTACTATGACGGGGCAAGAAAAAAATGTAAAGCAGCAATATAATAGCATTCAGTTAAAAGACAGATGAACCATGTAAATTAATTCTTCTGGCATCCCTTTAAATATTAATAGAAAGTGATAATTATTTCTTTTCCCCAGAACACACATGCACTACTGCAAGGACACTTCCCATAAAAGTTCAGGACATTAACTGGATTTTTTAAAATATTTGCAGGAAATTTAATAAAGCTGAAAGCAAATATTAATACCTGTGGAGCAAAAATATATGCCAAAGTTCCAAATACAGCACCTCCTAAAAGAAAACCAGCAACAAAATCACCTCCCCCACCCCTACTGCCATCACTGTATATATCAGAGTGAAGAACAAAAGATAAGGATAGAGAAGAAAATAAGCAGCATTGCTCTTGAAGAAAATCAACAAAAGCAAGTAAATCTAAACATAGCACAATGTCTGAAATAGTAAAAAATCAGCTTTCTTTTTTTTTCTTTTTTGGGTACAGGTAAAGAATCAGCTTTAAGAACATTCAGAAAAAATATGACAGAAATACCAAGGAGGACTTCAGATGGCTCTATACTTTAAATCTTTTAAATTGTGCATTGAGAGGGGAAATTAGTTTTTCGGCATCCAATTTACAATCTTTTTCAGTCGAATAGAACTTAATTAATAGATAAATCATCCAATAAACAACTTAATAATCATTGGGTATTAGTAGCCGAGAATCTGATAATATATTGTTTGGTGCATATGTTTCTATTGACTTCATTCTTCCAAATGTGTACAACAATGAGACAAAAGAAGCACTATAAACAGTGTTGTAATGACCACCAGGCTTTTGGATATTGATATCGAGACTTGATTTCTGACATTTGACAATTGAATTTCAGATTTCATATTGAGTATTTACTACAATTGTCTCGAATGTGTATAATGTCCTTGGTATTATGTTTTCCAGAATTCTGGTTTTGCATCAAGGCGGTTTAGTAAGACAAAGGATTTGGCACGTGTCATCCTATAACAAAGCATATGAGCAGACTAGTTCAAACATATGACCAAAAACTTTAGAGAGATGTGGCTCAAGTAACAATGACTCATAATCAGGGGTTCAGCTTACTCGTGGTCAACATACTCTTATGACAAATATAACTGTTCATCTAAGCTTATTTCACATGGACTGAATCCAGCACAACATACCGATACTCTGCACAAACTGAAAACTGGCGGTTGGATTGCATTGGTTTCCTCCGAACTGCCAAACTTGGTGTTTTTCCAAAGGTGCTGGACTTAGTGAACCAAACCTCACGTGCCTTGAGATGAGAACCACCTATAAACCAAGGAAAAAAATCATAATATATTGAGCATGAACAATAACTCGATAACAAATCATTTTCATTGCCATATGTCAGCATTAATAGCAATCCATCACAAGCGCCAAGATGAATCAATATAATAAAAAACCAATGGACCATGAACTAGTAAAAATACTCCATCCAGGCTCTATCTCTATTTTACGTGTCCTAGTTAATTTTTGGATGTTAGCAACATGGCTGTTATTTTTCATAATTAATGGCATTTGAATTTTGGATCCTTAAATCTTATTTCTTTCTCTTTGGCTTTTTAAACCAAAAATGATAAAAATTTAATAACAATGAGGATCGTAAGTGCTTCAATTTTAACAAACATAAATTGAAAACATATTTCTATTCCTAAAAATTGCATTCGCAGTGAACAAAACACGTAGAATAAGACAAACACTGTTATTTATACCTACCGCCCATACATACATAAGCATGTTCTTTCAAACCTCAATCACTTGAACCGAATTAAATGGAACACACAGAATCAGAAAAACAAACTTGAAGCACATCTATTTCTAGTCTTGTCCCTTCTTTAAGAACTTTAATCCACTAACACAGCATGCATTTATCCAAAACATCGCCTCAATAATTTAGATTACTACTTGCTTTTGAAAAGCTCTCTTAGACAAAAATAAAAAATATATATATTTCTTTTTTTAATAACCAAGAATTAAAAATTTATCTTCATAAATGTATAAATGTGAAAAAGTATTTACTTATCCAAAAAAAAAAGGATGATTATACTCTCAGATGTAACTATCATACATTTTTCAACCATTTACTTATTTATAATAAAAAAATTCTTCACTTTTTCAACCGAAAATATTGTAGATATATTTTTCCATCAAAAAGATTTCTATATAACATTTTCGCTAATCTAAAATAATTCTCCAAGAGGTGCACAATCATAAGGCATATTCAAATATTCAACTAAAATGAGGAGAAAAAAAGAGAGAGAGCAGCAGTAGCGTTCAGTAATTGAAATGAACTAAAAGAAAAAAAAATCAGAATTTAAATTAACATAAGCAAAAATGAAAATTACAGTCAGAAATGTTTAAAAAAAGATGGTTAAAATTGAAAGACCTGAGATGGAAACGGGAGCGAAGCAGGAAGCCATGAGAGATCTAGAGAGAAAAACCAAAGTGAAGAAGTAAGAATTTAGTTTTATTATTTTTTATTTTTTATTTTTTATTTGCCAGGAAAAGAGGAGAGGAGACGGATTATATCATTTTTGCAATTCGAGTTTTTTTATTTTACGAATATGCCCCTCCTTCTTAGAGAGATTTGTAGAGGATTTCTTTTCAGCTGGTTTTCGTCAGCGCGCGGTGGATGCCATCTTGCCTCTTTTGCCTTGAGAAATGAAGGCTGACGTATGTTAGCAATGCACTCAGTCGATATTAAGAAAGTTGAGCGGGGTATTAATGGAACAAAAAAGAATTTTCGAAAGGCTTTATGAATATCCCCGGCCGTATAACGACGGTTCCACAGTTCGGCCCAATGTTAACCCTTCGATGGATCCGCCTTCTTTTGCTAACTGCCATTCCTACTGTTTTTTAATTAGAAAGATCATATATTTATTAATTAATTAAATATTTAAAGATTATTATTATTATTATTATTATTAATCCTTGTAGCCATTAATCAATGTCAATATTTTAACTTATGATTTTGTAGAAAAAATAAAATAAAAGATATGACTTTAATTCCACATATTATAGCAAAATATTAGTTAAACTTGACCCAGAAAAACAACAAAATTTTATTTTCTGTTAACTGAATATAGTTTGAGCAAATGTCATAAAACAATCGTTTTTTGCGTCACTTTCAAAGTTGGCCTGAATTTAACGTGAGCAATAACTTTATACGCTTGGATTTAAGATGAGCAACAACTTTATATGAAATCAAACCCCATTTGAGTTGATGAACAACTAAAATTTTCAAACACCTTTCTATAAAGTTATGAATGAAGGAGTTTGACTTTTCCTCTATATGAGTACAGCTATCAAAAGAGTTTGACTCCTCTCCTTGAATTGTGGCATGGAGTAATAGACAAAATGCTGTGAATAAAGATTGGCCTCAACAAGAATAGCTTCATAGTTGAAACTTGGAATGGGAGATTAAAATTTACGGAACGAGAGAGGTAAGTCTTCCCATTATGTAACCTAAGCTTTTGTCATCAACAGAAGCAGATCAATTCAATGTACAGTGCTGTTTTCATACCACTGCTTGCTCTATTAAAAGGCATTACTAGATGTTGCCCAAGGGCAGATGACTCCAACATTCCCGCTCATCTATCCAAATGGGAAAATCAGAGCATCATCCTGTCAATTCCCAAATACCCAGCTACTAAGTAAACCTTTCAAATCAGTAAATATGCTATCACTAATGAGATAATTCAGTGAGCAAAGTCGAAATTAGCTAGAAATAAAAATTTTAAAAAAAATAAAAAAGACAACAAAATTCCTCCAGATCAAGGCATTGGTCTGCAAATTTTCTTGTGATATTTTGAAGTAAACCGGCTTTCATTCTCTGTATATACAAACAGCCGTGACTATGTCTATGCACTCAAAAAAGGAAACAAAAAAGAAAGACAAGAAAAAACAAAAGAAAAAAAGTTATTGCTAAGTTCTGTACGGGTTATGGACAGATGGAATGAGGGTTCTCCTACAAAGACCCATGGAAGGCCGTTGTACATGAGCTAGTGACCTGGTATACATTTGTACCACATTCATGTAGTTAATGTACAAACACCTAGGACCACCATGCAGCCTATTTATCAGGGAAGCCCCCAAACAGTAGCAGGGAAGTATTCACACGATGCCTTTCGGGCAAGAGCTGCTCCGTCTTAGAAACAGACTTCAAATTCTGTTCCTTTTCCGGAAATGGGAAGGAGAGGGAAAGAGAAAGGGAGGCAGATACATCATCCTCCTCTTCTTTTCCTCTTACCTTATCCAGGCGCCTGTCATGGTTACTATTTTTGTCTACCGTTCCAACAAAGAAAGGTAAGATTCCCTTATTTGGTGGTCTTGTCTCAGCCCCCAATGCAAGCTCCAGATTGGGAGAGACATCATGAACTTGGTCCTCATCTTTACAGAGAGCTCCTTCCATGGTTTAGAGTTGTCCCCCAACCGAAATTCCCTTCCATCATGTGAAATCCATGGGAAAGAAGAACCTTTCACTACTTCCCAAGTCCTCGGGGATAACTTTTTCTACACAAGCAATGTCACATCTCTTCTCTTCAACAGAAGAGCAGGAACCCAGATCATGTCTATCTGATGCTAAACTATCAGTAAAAGGACCTTGATCTCTAGGACAGCTATCTTGGTATATCCCACTGAAACCTGTCTTCAGCTTTTTATTATCACTTTCTCCAACTACGGAAACTCTCTTCACCTCACTCCATGGGATTTTTTGACTTGAATCAGTAGAAATTTCTGAAACTGTTTCTGTAAGATCCAAGTATGGGCGTTTCCGATGATTCCACTGCCAAGAGTCGAAATCTCTCTTTGAAGAAATTTTTCCATCAGCATACCCATCATCCTTCGAATCCCTAATTCCAACACAATCTCCATCAATCTTCCTCACAACAACTGCCTCTTGCTTTCCAGTTGGGAGATTTTTTAAAGATGGATAATCTTCTCTTACATGCACTTCCTCTTTCTCAACTTTCACAGAACCACTATTGGTTTCAGTACCTTGAAGGCAAGGTTTGAGCTCTGTGTCAAATCTACAATCTGGAAATTTGCTCTCTTCCTGCAAAATAATGCAAACATCAACATTCATATACGGCAGGTGATTATGAAGAAAAATCTGCATCACCTGAAGACAGGACCAAATGAGAAACAATAAAAAGTGAAGATGCTTGAAACAACCAGCTTTAAGAACATAAGCAACAAAGAATCTGACTAAGGATAAGACATAAGAGATCGTCAAATGTGGGCTTTCCCCCAGAAATTTTCAGGCTACACATAACTCCATCCAAGATCATTCTTTTTCCTAAAACACACTTCCAGTGCACAATAAAGTTCAGGAAGGAGTTTTTTTTTCTTTTCCTGTATGCCTAGAAACAAAAGCAACAAGTTCAAAGTCATAAATAATACAATAAAAACTCAATACACAAGTCAACAAATCGACTGACAAAATCTTACAATTCTTCAAACCCCGACCCCTAACAAATCAATAAATAAATAAACAAACAAAATTAATAAGTTCCAATGATTACTAGTCCTTCACAGGTGGGCAAGATCAAGGGATTCAGACATTATTGATCTGCTGATGAAGATCAGAATCAGAATTATCTAACACACTTGGCTGAAAGGGAAAAAGAAATTTCCTTTTAACAGCACCAATATTAGAAAAGAGAACCAGTAACATTCCTCCACAAACTAAGTGAACAGTATCAGTGATCAATGTGTAAATTTATAAGCATTTTGCAGTATAACTTAAATCAAGCATTCATTTATAAGCAAGAAAAACAATTAAATTCTTATTTTCTTGAATTAGAATATATTAATTCCTCACTGATTTGATTATGTCAGTAAATAAGTAAAGCTCTATAGCGGATTGTAGGGTTGAATATTTAGTAAATAAAGGTAAGAATAAACATAAGCGATCTACAATAGCAACAACATGAACTTGACAGTTTCTCTAAGTAATATACATAGACAGAAGAACATATTACCACAGAAGAACTAGTGCATTTCATTTCTGGATGCACCTGTGTGCTGCTTGCTGCAATTCTTGACAAGAACCTGGAGTCAATTTTACTATCTTGCTCCTCCAATTTTGCTTTTATTCCCACATATGTATGCTCTGGAGAAGAGACCTTGTTATCACCAACTTTATCTGTTAAGATACATGTCTTTTCAGCAGTACTGGTTACAGGGACTACATTGCATGAACTGTCACAGGCAGCTGGTTCATTTTCTACGGGCTGGGGAATATCAGTAGCTACCTCTCCCTCCAAACATACCGTACTTGCATCAGGAATGCATGCACTCTTTGAGGAATTTGAACAATTTGCTCTTCTTCCCTTGAAAACACCCCAAAGGAAAAATAAGGTATTCCACCCTGCAAACAGCAAATCACAAATTTAGCATTCTTCTTTTTCCTTGGAGAAGCAAATATAACATATTAAAGACACCAAAGAAGGAATCACAAAATCCATCAAAAACAAAGACAAAACTGAAAACTAAGAGACACAAACCAAAATAAATCTAAAAAAAAAAAATCACAGCTCTCAACAGATTAAGATGTAGTAGTTTGTCAAAAGGTAAAAGGTCCACTCCTGTCAAGTACAACTTAAGCGAATGAGAACAAATGTTCTGTGCATATGCTGGCAGTATGCACCAGTGCAAAGGTGCCACTGATTTGATACAAGTCAACAAAAAGAGTATATAGACCCAAAATTATGAGCTGAAGCATGTTAAAATGATTTGATATCTAAGAATTTCCCATATAATGTCACACCAAATAGGCGGAATGGAAGAAAAGGATTCATATAACCTCCCCCTGCCAATTTGGGATTACAAAGCAGTTGATTCTGGTTGTGCTAACGTAGAAAAAGAAAGCCATGCAATGAAAACCGCTTGATAGACTTAAAAAACTCCAAGCAAATGATCTACATATGGAAGAATGAAGTCACTCTCCAAAACCTTCCTTTCAATACATTATGCGAACGGTACCATTGATGTCAATGTTACCAAATCAAAACTAAACAGTAAAATGCCAAAACCCAACAACCAACCTATAGACAGTGTGCTAAAGAAACAGTTATCCATTAGCAAAACATCTGCACACCTATGGCCTACAAACAAATTTCTACCCTTTGATCAAAACTACAGTACTGTAAACATGTTCTAATGCAACTTGCAGCACTAAAGTTGAGAAGAGAACAAGAAAACCGAGAGTAGCGAGAGAGGCTTTCCATGTCGCCTTATGCAGAGTTTATAACCAAAAAGACAATTGCTTTTTGTCTTTGTTTTTTTTTTTTTTTTTTTTGCCATCATAAGTATCGTTTGTTTGGAATACTAAGAGTTGACATAACTCAAAAACTCTGCCTACTTAGCCCACACATAAGCAAGCTATAAAGACTCAAACCAAATCAATTTCTTTAAATCTAAACAACCAGACAACTTAAGGATTTCAGTGGATGACAGTTTTAGTTAGATCCATATAAAATATTCGTCCACTAATCTGCAAAGCTAGAGTTTAGATGCGGAAAATGGAGAGTCTAAGGACATCATCAGCTTGTTAAACATCTTGCTAAAACAAACTCACTGCAATTACCATACTTTGGAATAAAGAAATGCTGCTTTTTCCAAATGTACCGCCCTTTTTACCCCACTATTGTGATAGGAACCTAAATTTGAGGCTCATCCAATAGGTTTCAAGCTATGCATTTTACTGAGGCACGGTATACTGCTCGTTAAATTCATTAGCAGCATCTTTGTATAACCTCAACTGCAAAACTGTTTCTCTCAAGTCCAGAACCACAATAGAAATAATGAATTACAGATGCAAGTTTCAACAAACGTATACTAAGAATGACAAAGAACCAAAACAAAATAATGCATCAATAATAAAATAATTCTTAGTTCAATGGGAAAAATCAAAGGGAAAAAGTTTGAGAGAGTGTTAGAAGGTTGTGAATCTTATGGAATTTCCAAATCCAGATAATATGGTCAACAATTAGCTCCTTAAAGTCATCAATGTTTATATTTTTCAATTATTTGTGGTGCAGAGAAAGAGACATATCCCTTTATCCTTGCCTTGTTGTGAATCTTGGGTCAAAGCGTATAGTCCAACCAAAAGTAAAATTACAGAGCACCACACAGTATTTGAATATCTCAAATTTGCAACTAATCCTTACGCTGGCAATTTTCAGGAAGCTGGTTGGATGGGAATATCAGGAGTTCAACACCTTCAAAATTTCCTTTGAGGGCAAGATCATTCTTGACCATAGTTTCCAAAAGGACCTTGTAATTCTTCTCATAACTGAAACATAAGGAGCAGGAAAAAATTTTTCAAAACGGAAAGCAATGAGAAATTGCATCAACCAATTATAGAAAGGAGAGAGGAAGAGGAGGAGGGGAAGGGGGAGGTTGGGGGGAGTGTTAACAGGAAAAAAAAAGAACCTATATTCATATCTACCTTTCAGGGTCCTTGGCAAAGAAGTATAGAGCTATATTATCTTCTTTAGGACCACTGTCATGAAACTGTGCTGGCCAAGTGCTCAAGCGAGGTACTTCATTCAAGGAAACTTTGTGGGGAAAAGTATTGACAACTTCAAGAACTTTAGGTGATGCAAGGGTTGAGAGATGGGCCTGAATTCCACCGCAGAAGTCAGGAAGCTTTCCGCTTTTAAGCACCTCAAAAGCCCCCCTGCATAAAAGTAACAGAATCTATCTTATTTAAGAAACATCTCAAGCCAAAAATAAAAGTTCAATAGAAGGATAAGTATCCTACTGCCAGATGTACTCAGGTTCTGGGATGGCTGACATCTTTGTAATAGCAGACACCATGGGTAAAAGAGGGACAGAGATATCTCTCATCGAAAGATTGCCAACCGAAGAAACTACAGAGACAGCATCAGTAGAATGTGAATTAAGCAGCTTCTGATTACCAATGGAAGCCTGATTCTGAACATTTGTTTGCCCTTCATGTGTACCTTCAACAGCAATCATATTCTTTGCCTTATTGGAAAATGATGATTGATCTTGAGGAGGTCTTTCACATAATCCAGGCCTCATACGGATAGCTGCCTCAATAGCAGCTTTCAACTTATTGCCTTTATTTATCCCCTCCCTAGAAGTTCTTGGTGCAGACATATCAGCAGTAGAAACCTGAGCGACTGAGCAATATTCTGCTGTATGACCCATTTCTTTGCATTTTAGACATGGTACACTTCTTGAGCGACTAACAGAGCTCTCCCTAGATATATCACTCTGATTTGTTGAATCTAATGACCGAGATAGCCCATCAGACATAACGCCATTAACATTATTAGGTTGCCTCTCAGCCGTCCAAGAAGAACTAGGTGAGGGTTCCTCCTTTGGGCTTACTAGGTTTAGCTTTTGTTCAGAAGAAATGCGGCCATTGGTGGATGAAACTCCAACAGCTGCAAAATAAGAAGAACACTTTTAACTTGTTCGAAGAAGACAAAAAGGAAAGAAGAAAAAAAATCAACAAAAACAACAAAAATGAGGTAAAATAAGCAGAATACACAACAAAACATTCTAATTAAAATGAACATTAAAAAAAATGAGAGGAAAGGAAGAAAAAAAACTAAACAAAACAGTCTCTCCATCAGAATGTCACAACTTACCAGAAGTAACTGCATTTTCTACACCTTTACGAGCTAGACTGCTAGTAGATCTCGATAAAGTACTTGGTTTCCCATCAGACTGAACAACCTTAGATTCTCGGTTGTTGCTTGCAGATGAATGAGAAATTGTATCAGCACGAGGTGTCTGTTTCTGATCAACCTTAGGTGTGGAGACAGTGGAACTAGAGCGATCCAATTTTGAGAAATTTTTCCTTTCTAATGATATCCGCTCTTTAACTTGTCTTAATACTTTTAGATCTTGAACATGAGAATATTTCGAAGAAAGCATTTTAAATTTTGATTCCCCAGGATTTAACCGCCCTGAGTTAGTGGATTTAAATGACAAGGATTTGCCCATCGTTCTAGCAGATTCCTCCTTGGAATCAAGGGATGCATGTTCTCTAGCGCCTTTCTGTTTTTGAAGAACAACTTCATCTACAAGCTTCACTTTAGGTTTGGTATTTAAGTTATTGAATGAATTGGATTTCAATAAGGTACCTGTATCAAGTGGAACAAAATGCCAATTCTTTAAATTTACAAATATGTAAAAAATTATTAACCAACAAAATTAATTCACTTACCCTTTGGCGTTTGCAGCCGTGGACCAGAAGTAGGAGAGCGTGCAGTTTCAGGCATATCACTTCCAGAATGATTGCCAAGAGAAGATGGCCTCATTTTCCCCTTGTCTAAGTTCTTAAATGACCCCTCTCGAGACAAAGCAGCTACTCTGCTGGGGCTCAATGATTTCGGTGATGCTATATTTGTTTCGACAGCCTGCCTTTTTGGAGCCGAAGCACCCTCTTGATTTTCTGCATGTCTCTTACCTAAGCTTTGTGTACCTAAGCTAAGTTTGTTTGCTCTTTTGCCTTCAGCATCTGAACCTTGAAAATTCAATTGCAAAAGGAGGTCAGTACAAACAAGCCTTCTATTCTTGTCAGAGTACCTCATTTTCTTCCATGTGTTTGAAAACTAACCTTGCTTTTGGCTTTCAGTTTCCTCAGCCAGCTTGCACTCTTCACAAAGCCAATCACCTTCAGGAACCTTTTGAAGCATTTCTCGCATACAGTAACTGATCAATAGCATTAATAACGTAAAACTCACCAATGAATATAGGCTTGTAGATAAGAATCAAATAGAAATGCAAAAAAAAAAAAAACAGCTGACAAACATGTTAATAAAGGAATTTCTACACTTACGTGTGCTCCGCACCATCGGCGCACTTGCTACATATAGCAAGCAAATCTTCTCGTCCTGCATCCCCACAAATATCACATACCTTAACCTATCGAGAAACAAAGAAAAGATAAATCAGAAAATTTTTATTGAAATAAAAATCAACATTATGGATCTTAAAAAAAAAAAAAGATCTAGCAGTCCTAAAAGGGTTAAAAGAAAAGGAATCCTTCTTTTTGAGTAGTATAATTTTGATGACATCCAGTTTAATATTCCTAAACCATTTGACAAGGTCCAGGACCTTTATATTCATTTTCAATGCGTTTGTTCTCCCTTAAAAGATTCATTTTGACAACGCCTAAAATAGTATAGAATCTGGCCAGAGTCAGAACACTCAAACTAAGTATAAGAATATCCTAATCGCTACTTCCATTCTCCTAGTGATGGCACTTGCACTCCAAGTGCAAAGGGAAAACCAACTAAATTGTGGTATCTTTAATATTTTTCCTCTCATCTAGAAATAAGTGGTCATGCATGCATGCTTTCTTCATTACGACCTTCAGAAAGAATAAAATAAATTACTTACATCATGTTCTGTGGCATCAGATTCATAACTCTCGTCTCCAGAAACTGCTTGCGAAGGAGACTCCTGCTTGTCAGGTAACTCAACCAACTCATTCAACTTATCTTGCTCATCTTCATTCAAACTTTTATCAGTTTTATCTGGTGGGTCCCCACTATTGCTATCAATATCTGCTTCTAACTTCGGATGGATTTTGATAGAAATCTCAGAACTGCCTCCAACAGCACTCTTGCCACTTTGAGAATGTAAATGAGGACTTTGCATCCTCAGTGAAGTACTGCCAGCATCCACCTCCTCCTTTATAGAAGGCAGTTCTGACAACTCTAGCTTCTGGGAAGAAAGCACCTTTCCAGATCCTAAACTACTAACTGATGCTGAACTACGAGATGAATTCTTGCTGTCTAAATCCTTGTTACAATAACTGGAAGCTGCGTTTTCATCACTGGTTCTACTAGCACATGAAATGTTATCATCATGGCCTTCAACACCTTTGGAACCATCATACGCATTTGAGAAGGTTCTCTGAATCTCAACATCTTCTGATGCATCAGATACATCAGATGGCCTTATAGTGGCTTTACTTTCTATATTTTCAGAGTAAGAATCATGACTTGAATTGAGACTGAGTAAATTGCTAGCTTCACTGGGGGTAGGCTGTAAGTGGTCACCTGCTTTATCCTCATTGATAGAATACTGACTTGCCACAGCAACACGATCTGTTTCATCAGAAAACTCCTCACTCTTCGATCCCATTTGAGTTGTACTAAGGTGCATACAAGATGAACAAGGAGCAGAGCACACGTTGCAGGTTCCAGATTCTGCTTTTGTGTAAACCTTTTGACTCATGTAACGCCTAACTAATTTTCTCACAGTTTTTGGTGGAGCCTAAGATGAAGAAAGCAGAATTAAACAAATGATGAACAGAAAGCCAAAGATTCATATCTCTTACAAAGAATTAAACAAATGATGAACAGAAAGCCAAAGATTCATATCTCTTACAAATATGTATTAATGCCCTTTCCTCCAAAGAAAAATATAATTAATCTTATGCAACAAAAATAATAGCAAACGAAAATATTTTGATTCAACCATCACATGAAAAAGAATTCAGAGGCCTTACTTCATACTTTGGCAGAGAAAGGAGGTGGCATCAACAAGAAAAAGGAATATGAGCTTGGATCAGAGATATTCTAGGAAGATGAAATAAGGAATCAAAGAAAGCACCAATCTAATCTTAACCATCTAGCATACCAAGTTCCTTCAAGATAGGGATGATTTCTGGATAAACAACAGGCACACTAATATGTCTACAAATCAAACAAGCAATCTGCATACAAAAGAAACAAAAAGACTCGCTATAATAATGTAAACAAATAATAATTTCTAACTTTCTATATGCAGCCTAGGTTTACCGTGTGCATCATAAATTTATATGCAGTCTAGCTTTACTTTGTGCATCATAAATTTCTTTTCCTTTTTATAAGACTTTCCCCTTGTCCGGATAACAGAGACATATGTGTCAAAAAATATAACTCTACACAAAGCTCATTTTCTAAGTCAACTTACATTTCCAGTCTCAGCATCTTCCAACCTAGCCTGTGTAATTTTTTGTATTTTAAAAAATATCCGCCCTTGTTTTCAATTTTGTGCTCTAAACAGTACCTCTGTGGGCAAGCTCATGGAAATGATCCTAATATGCTACTGAAGGTGAACAATTGCAATCAATAATGAAAACTTCAACATTTTTAGTGGATTTAGAGCACCATGGAATCTAATATTATATTGTTCAGCTATACTCCACTGCATTTTTGAGCAACTTATATTCATATTTCAAAACATTACATGACATTGGCAATCATAAGACTCTTAAATACATAAATTCACCCTAGTAAGTGTCAACCACAAAAATTCATAACATCGCACACAATGTTGTTACAAACTTACGTAGTTGTTAATTAAGTATAATACAGCAACATACAGACCAACAGAACATCCATAACACATAACTTACAAATTCATGATAGTTATAAATTCGTAATCATATCATCTGAGTCATGGAATTGAAAACTTTACTCTGCAGAATTTTATATAAAATTCTACATTTCAACTATTCTAAGTTTTGTTAGAAGTGAATGACTAACATGTCTAACAAACATTTCATCATTGAAACTGAAAAGTGCAGAAAATTAGCATCATACATTAGCTACAATAAAAAATTAAACAATAATGCAATGAAAGGCTTCACATTCCAAAACATTAGGCAGCTTTAGATATATCATACCAACCCCACGACTGGAGCCATCTATGCCGAGTAGATATTATTTAATTCTTAAGTCAGGAAAGGGTGCATACATGGCAAGCACTTTGTTACTTAGAACTGAGAGAAGGGTGAAACAGAAAAGGTAGAGGGAGTGCATTTGCTACCTAAGCCAACAAATTGGAATCCAGAAAAACTGAAGAGATTGCCAAATGAAAGACAAAAACTAAAAAATAAGTATATCATTTATTGAATTCCAATTCTAAATCATTCCCAGAAAGCACATGAGAGGGAAAGTACAGTAATTTTCTATTTTATCATTTTCCATTCCCTGCCTATCTTTTAATCCTCCTAGTTTTCAGCTAATCCGCCAAAACCCAAAAAATTCTAACCATAACTACATACCACAAATCCAAAGAGGGAAGCAAGAGCAAAAAACTTGGCACTTTCAGTTGTTTCTACCGATAAGTAGATGTTCTTCCTTCTTTCAACATAAACCATTACACTAAACATGATTGATAGAGAAAAAGCATTTGCAAGTTAAGAACATAGATTGCAGATTACCCTGTTCTCACCATATTCTTCTGAATACTCTGCTCTATCTCATCCACTGGCCCTTGCATGCAATAAATCCCTCTCAAAATAGGTGTGATCTAAAAACCACATCAAACTGTATCAAATAAACCATCATTAAACAAAATCTTATAAGTATAATCCATTGCACAAAAACTGAATCAGTTTAGTACATATAAAACCACAACATAGCGAAAAAAGTTGTATCTGAATTCCATACAGACCTAACACATAGCCGTATTATGTGAAGGAACTAAACACAACAAGCAAAAAATGATAACTACCCGAGTTCCATAGAGGACCCAAACCCTAATTCCTAACATAGGCCATCCAACACGACAATGGACTGATGCAACAAAATTCAAGACAAAATATTACCAATATTTCCACATAATCCACGGCTTATTAAAAGGAATCAAAAGTTCAAAACCACACACACTATTAATTTGAAGTTAATATTCAAATATTTCTAATTGATAAAATATTACGAAACCCTAATAAAGAGACAATAGGATATTACATGCCTCTGGTTCATAGATTATCGCGGTCGCATTGTAAAGCTCCTCAACAAGCCGCTCCTTTCGCCTCACCACAACAGCTGCTGCCGTCGCCGCCCCCATCGCGGACGCAAACGATCGCAATACAGATTGAACATCAAAGCAATTCCTCTCTTTTTCTCTCTAGGTTCCCCTTCCCTCCCTCCCTCCCTCCCTCTCCCTCTCTCTTCTCTCTAACCGCTGCGAAGGATTTCCGATTCCAGTTTCAATCTCAATCTCAATCCCCCTAATTTCTATTTCAAATTTCCTCACTGCTTTTCTACAAAAAAAAAAAAGAAATCCGATATTCACAAAATATACATAAAAATTAAAAATAAATAAATATGCAACAACAAATTAAATTATTTCAATTTTTTCTCTACAAACTTAACATTTCCTCCCTCTAGGTTTTTCATTGTTTTCCTTTTTTCCTCTCTCTCTCTCTCTCTCTCTCTCTATGATCCGTGAAAAATCTCAAAATGGTCAGTACAGAATCCAACTTCTCTCACCCATAAACCAAAATCACAAAACTAAAAATCTTATAAAAAAATAAAAAATAAATTTACCTCTCTCTTTATTCACTCTTTTTTTTTTCTTCCTTCTCTCTTTTCCTCTCAGCTTTCTCTCACTAGATTTTCTCTCACTCTTAAAATGTGGGCAAAACCTCCCTCTTCTCTCTCTCTCTCTAGATTTCCTCTCTCTAGAATAGATTAGTTTCTTTATCTTTCTCCGACCTCCCTTTCTTAATTTCTCTTCGTTTTTCTTTTTTTCGTTTTTCCTCTCTCTACATAGTTTTCTTGAGAAAAATGAGTGTTTTTTGTTTTTTTGTAAGTTTCGTAAATTAAGATAATTTTTTCCTTCAATTTTTTCTTTTTTAAAGCTGCGGAGAATATAAGCCAGTTGGAATGGAGGGGGACTTGTCTCGTCTCACGTGCGAAGATAAATTTTGGGATTCCGGCACGTGCTAATGGCGATGTTTACCCATGCGATGTTGCCTTCTTTAGGCCATTACACGTGGGACTGATGGAGGCTTTTTGCTATCTTGCGCCGGGCGTATCGTGCTCTTCACATTTTTTTTAAGTCAAGGTTTAATTAATTTCCTTTTTTTCTTGATTAATACTGAAATAGAAAATGTGGGATTTGTTGTGATAATAGGAAAGATCATGCGTCTGTTTTACGTTTTATCTGTCTAATTTAACCTCATTACTTTGTTATTTTACAATTTTAACTTTATGTAATTTATTTTCATTCAAGAAAATAATCGTTTTTTAATTTAAATAGTGTTCCGACTTAAAGACACATATTGTAAATTTCCTTGAACTCTAAATATTATCACAAATCATGTGGTTGTATCTCTCCAATACTGTTCAGAATTTAAAATATATATATATTATATCACATTAGATTATTCTCAAGAAAATTCATTATCGGTTCTTAAAGATGAAAAATTTTATGTATTACAAATTTACTTCTTCCCAATTTATTAACAATTACCATTTTTTTTTGCTTCTTCCTGAATTTTTCTTTTGCTTTTAAAAATAGATTCCTTAAAAGATATCTACCTTGGATTGTTTAAATACTAGTATTTATAATCCCGTGTAGCTGTTTTATATTTATTTATTATTAACAATTATATATAAATATAATTATTTTTAAAGTATATAGGTTGTATAAATAATTAAAAACCTATAAATTATTCAATTTTATTAAAATTACAAAATACATTATTATTTAATATTAGTAGAATTAAGAGATTTATTTTTAATAAAAATATTCAATATAATGAGAATTATTATTTATAAATTAAATAAATATTATCAACATTTATAATAAATATATTTAAAATGATAATTTAAAAAAATATTGGATAAATATGTTCGCTTTTGTTAATAAAAAAATCTTTAATCTTGAAAGTGTTAATAGTTATCCTACCATTAAATCTTTAATCTTTAATCTTGGTAGGGTGATGGAGATGCTGATAATTGAATTCATTGGTTATATATGTTGGGATTCTCTGTGCTTATAGAAGTTTGGTGATGACTTAAGTTTTGATCGGGGGGAATGAGATAGATATTTTTTTATTTTTTATTTATCTTTTATGACATTATTATTTTAATTATCATTTTTAAAAAGATCTGAATAATCATTAATGACTCTCTCTTAAAAGGCCTATTTTACTTAGGATAGCTGCTGCCACCTCCTTCACCTATAGTTGATCTTCATTTAATGTTAGATTTGATTTTGTTTATGAGATTGTTTCTATTATTAATCAATAATAAATCAATAAATAAAAATTACATTTTTCAAAGGGTAATTTTATATACAAATGGGATAAAGTAGGTGTTCAAAAATAGTAAGTGAATATCCAAATACATATTAAAAAAAATCAATCCCAAAATGGATTCGAGTAATGGGTTTGGAGTATCAAGAGTTTGTTACCATATGATTTTATAACGCTCAAATATATATTACTATTCTTATATAAAGAATAAACATTGTTGTTGTAACTTAGCTATACATGTATATCGCGTAACAACTTCATGCCATGCATATTTAATAAAATACTAATTTATAGAATTTAAAAGAATAATATAATATAATGATCATAACCAATCCTATTTATCTAACAATATTTATTTTCATCGTACGGAACAGAAGTGACTTTAAACTTATTTTAATATTATAAATAATAATATTTAAAGAATTTATAAACATATTATAAACACGAAAACTTTAAAAATAATAAATTCACAATAGTTCAATTTCTTGTAATGATGATCATAAGTATGGTATATTAAATAACAAAGTATAGAGATTTTCACTTTTTAAAATATTTGATAATAATGGATCGATATATATTATATAATATGAAAAATATATGTTTGACGAAGAGCTTAAATATAAAAACACTACTTTTCCTCTTGTCATTTTAATATTCTCGGTAGAAAGAAAGTTGTACTATTTCATCCTATGTAGAACTTGTTGAAGTTAATGGGTTGGATTGGGCCGAGCCCGATACAAGTTTGACTTTTGATTTCTCTAGGCCTAGTTGGAAACTAACAGGGTTAATCAATATAAATATCTTTTAAGTTCGATTATCCCATTTAATTGATATTTTTATTTTTAAATAAAATAGAAAGTAAGAGATAAAAAATAAATAGTTAAATAAAATTTTAATTTTATGCTCATAGCCTGCTAGATTAAAAGATTTTCAACTAATAAATAAATAAATTAATGTAAAGTGCAAAATATTAATTATCAGAGTAAATTTTTTATCAAAACTATTTAGTTAATCTTATACAAAATATATAATTCATTACAGCATTAATGCGCACAAGCACATTAATAATTTATTTAAAATATTCTAATATTTAATCAATAAATTTTTAATCTTTGTTTATGTTTAACACACTAAACTTATATTTTAACGACTTAATTCATAAAAATCATAATTTTCTTGGATTATTATTATTCGAAGATAACAATCATAGACAAGTGTCATGGACTGCAGTTTAAAGCATTAGAGGAAGCTCAAGGGTGTTTCGAAGCGTCGATATATGGAGGAGTATTGCTAGGAGAGAACCCTCATTTGATAATAGGAGATAAATGGAGACTACCCAACAGGGGTGCACAGCACAAGCCCCTGAGCGCCCCAGCCCGCACAGCGCCCAGGTAGACTACCTGCAGGTGGCCTTGGCGAGCTAATCCGCACAACGCCCAGACAAACTACATGTAAGTGGCCCAGGTGAGCTAGCATGCACAATGCCCAAACAGATTACCTGCGGGCGGCCCATGCGCACCAACCCTCCAGCCCCCAAGCACATTGCTTGTGGGGGACTCAGATGCGTCAAACTGTCCAAACACCATACCCACCCACTACCCCAACCTTTGTAATGGCCTAAACTACTGGAATCTTGACACTCACCCAAAAATATCTTGTCCACCTTTTGGAGCGAATTTTGGCTATAAATAGCCTTTATAAATGATATGTACAATTGATGACTTAATGAATACACACTTTTCACTCTTAAATTCTCTCTAGCTCTCTTCTCTCTTTTTACTTCAATCTTTTGCATGCTTGCTTGCTGCCCTGAGGCCTAATGTGCTGTGTGTGTGCTTGCTTGCCGACCAAGAGTTGTGTGCTGCTGCGTGGGTGTGCTGTGAGCTTGCTGATCGAAAACTGTGAACTGCTGTGCTTGCTGGGCTGGTGCTTAGTACTAAGATGGGTGTGCTTACATTGCATATTGCATATTGTGTTGTTTCTTGGTCTTAGTGACCTTGAAAATCAACTGGTAGGCATACCTTATGCTGACTTGGGTTCCGGCACCGAACTAAGCCTTGAATCCAAAGCTGCACGGTTAGGTGGTCCAAAGAACCTTCGAGTGACACAAGACCTAGGTAAAATTTCATTGGTCATTTGTAAGTTTTTTTCTAATTAAAAATAAAATAAAATTTTAGTTAAATTATATAATTAATCATGACAAATTGTAAATTTAGTTTCCATATAATGATTGGTAAAACTTGAATCTTATATTTTTTAAAATTGACAATATATGTCAATTGTTAACATTATTAAAATTTTTCTATTAATTATATCAAAATGGTATCTTTTATATTATTAAATGTTTTTATTAATTATGTTCATATGATATTTTCTTACTAATATGACATTAAATATGATGATCTGTTGATGATAACGTGGCATTTTTTTAATCTATTTCATGATATTTTTTTCACTATTTTAAGTTATGAAGCACAAAAATTTACCTTTTCTTTATCTCACAACACTCTTTCTTATAAACCTATTTATATTTTTTTATTTTTTTCCAATCATGTTCAAAACCATTAGTTCATATGAAATAATTTCAAATATACACTTATAAAATTCATGTAGTACTTGATCATGTCATATCGACATTATTATTTGGTAGCGTTTAGTACGAGGGAAGTGGCAACACATTCCTTGTAATGAGTTGAACTAACTTATATTACAATGTTTGTTTTGCAATAAATGTAAGATTATAATACAATTACATTATTGCCAAATGATGTAATAAGATTGTAATGTAATCACATTACATGATTTAATATAATTGTAGTTTAAAACTAATACAATCACATTATATTGCACTTTGCAATGTTATTAAAGATATTTTGATACTTCAACTTTATTATTTTATTAAAGATATTTTGTAATGTTATAATTAAAATAGAAAACATTAAAATAAAATATATAATATGAGAATTAGAAATTAAATTAAAATACAATTTAAGAAATTAAAATTTATATAATATAGGTAAAAGAAATTAATAAAATAT